TTTGTCACTTCGCTCCAACCCCTCGACTCTGAGGAGGCTGCAGTAATTCAGTCGAGCTTATCCCAGGGAGCGGAGGGCCAGAGGGTGAGAAACCACAGGGCTGGAATCCGCCCAGCATCCTGCTCCAGAGCTGCAGGGAGCTCTGGCTTCGCACTCGGCGGGGTAACTTGACATGCCTTTGAGTGTGCCTTCGAATTCCCTGGGAGGGACACGCTGCTCGGCCCCCCGCTGGCTGACAGGTCAGGAACATCTGCTGGGCGGGCGTTAGGAAGGGACCAGCCTCGGGAGAGTTCTGCCCACGCTGTCCTGTGGAGAAAGGGGCATGAAAGGGGGGGAAATGTGGCCACGGGAGAGGAGGGGAAAATATGGAAAATAACAAACCTCGGGGAGGGGTCTTGTCCCTCTGTCATTTAGCTGTGTAGCGCCCCTCCCCCAGCATGCTCAGAAAGGGGCCCCCTGCTTGTGATGGCAGCCAAGGAACCCCTCGTGTGAATCCTCTGCCCCAGAGTGTCTGCTCAGATCTTCAGGCCCCGTCCACCCTGGGCTCAGACCCATTCCCTTCCGGAGAGGGGCATGGCCAGCGCCGCTCGGGCACAGTGGCCTCTGAGCCGCGCCGGGATCACTTGCTGCCACCCGCCTTCTGCCCTTTCCTCTTGGTGTGTTTTCCCACCAACACACCGCCTGGGAGCTCTAGAGCAAATGAAAGGCTGTGACACTAGCAGACATGGGGCTCAACGAGACGCCTCTGGCCCACCTGATTTCCCCAAGCAGCTGCACGTCTGCTCGGGTCAGCGCGGCCAGCGTTGACGTTCGCGTCTCCTTGGGAGAGCCCCTCTGAGCCGTGCTCTGCAGCCTCTGTGCTCTCCCGACCGACCGGGGCCTGGCTTGCAGGATTTAGTGCTGAGTGAACCCACCTGCTTCCCGTTCCTTGCAAACCCGGGCAAAAGGAGCAACTTGTCTCTCAGCCCTGCCCTGCTGCTTTGCCAACCCCATTCTGCTGCCCGTCCCCGCCTGGGGTGCCCCCTGCTCTGCTCAGGGAGGGCTGCAGGCAGCGTTCTCCCCTGGGTGCAAGGTGGGGCGATGCTGCCGTGAATCGGGGTGCGACCTGTGAGCCAGCCAGGCCCCCAGGAGTTTCATGCAGGTCCAGTCAGCGGCCAGTTAGTGCAGAAGCAGCGTCCAGCACAGCTGACTACAGGGCACGAATGTGGGGTAACTGGGACAGGGGTGATCTCTCCCCCTGCTGCTCTCAAAGCTCCAAGCCCGCTTCTCCCTGAGCCCCTGCTCTGCTTGCATCTCTTTCAGTTCCCCGACGAGACCCTACGGAGCGGGGAGCTGCTGAACATGATTGTCGCCGTCATAGACTCGGCCCAGGTAGGAGCGGGGGCTCTGCGTGGCGGGGAGGGGCAGCATCTGTCTGTACCAGGAGCACATGGGCTGAGCTCAGCTTGGAGCTGCAGAGAGGCAGGGCGGGATGTGCCATTCTCAGAGCCAGCTGCCATCTCCCGGGGAGCCGTTTGCACCCCTTCATTGTCGGGCTGTACAGCAGCCGTTCTAAATCCACGGGGCTGCCTCATTCCCCCAGGGGCCGGGCCGCAGCGTGCAGGGTCAGTCTGTTAAATCCAAGCCACGGCCTTCAAGGGATTGTCAAGGCCTGGCACTGCTGCGGGGAGGCGGGGGTGGGAGCATGGAGAGGGATTTGGCTGGATATGTTCTGAGCCCTGGTGAGCGGCAGCTGCGTGGGAACGGCAGGCGAGGGGGCGGGAGGAGAAGGCTGCCGCGGAGCTGGGCAAAGGGAAGTCCCCCAAAGGGGTGAGATGTTGGAAGCCTCCCATAGATCCCGTGGGAGCCCTGAGAAATGTGGCACCCCAACCAGCCCTTCCTAGCGCTGGGAGCGGCAGGCAGTGGGACCCCCGCTTGGCTGGCGAATGCTGCGTGAGGAGGAGGCGGCTCTCACCCCGCAGAACTGGGGCGCCGGCACATAAGCTTGTGCTGCAGATGCCAGGAGGTTTCTGCACCCCAGAGAGAGGTCGCCGTAGCCTTGGGTCAGGGTCTCCCCCAACCTGCCGCTCCTTCCCCTCGCCGCCACCTGGCTGTAGCCCAGGCAGCGTGGTCTGCGTCCCTGCCACCTCCTGCTGCCACACCCCTCCCAACGCAGGCTGAGCAGTACTCGGCCGGGAGATGGGAACCGACTCGAGTGACTCAACTCGGGTCCCATGCAGCAGCACAGGGGGGAGCCCATCCCTCCAGAGGAGCCCATTATGTTGGGTTTGGGCTCGGGCCGTGCTCGCCCTTGGAGACCCTCTCCCAGCAGCAACGCTCAGGAGTTGCCATGACACCAGTTCAGAGGAACCCAAAAATAGTCCGTGGGAGGGAGGTGGGGAGAGCCAGGCGCTGAATACTTCTGCTGTCTGGGCACATCTGGAGCGCGATCTGCTGATAACCCTGGAACTTGCCCTAGTTCTACATCAGCTGAGTTTTCAAAATGGCTCGGTAGCTGCTTTCCCGGCCGGCCCGGCCTTGCCCAGCTGCAGCAAGGCTGACGCTTCGGCCAGGGAGTTTTGCTTGGCAGGCGGCTAGATGGTCTGAGGTATGGGAACGGCTTGAGTCATGGTGCCCGGTTCGGCTGGCTCCTGGCGCTGCTCGGGGGCTCCGTCGCTGTCTGCAAAGACAGCCCAGTTTTCCCAGCACATAGCAGTCGCATTTCCTCTCCCCTCCCTTCGTCCCTTCCTCTTATTCTTCCCTGCTCCCTTCATCCTGCAGTCCCTGGGCGGCCCAACCTGCCTGCAAAGGCAGCCCTGGCCTCTCCCTCCCGGAACTCAGCACGGCGCAAACCTCCAAGCCGCCGGGGCGTCGTAACCCGACCAACGGGGGGCAGACACGAATGCAGCAAGGGGCAGGCTGGGAGAGGCGGGGGTGCTCTTGGCACTCCTAGGAGGCCCCAGGGCCATGGCTGCAACCAGCCGCAGGGGCCAGTGTCTCCTCCCAAGCTGCAGCCCTTTGCCTTTGGAGAGCAGCTGTGCCATTCCGCTGTGCAGAGCCAAGCAGTCGCGCGGGAGTCGGGGCGGGGAGAAGGGGCTTCAGTAGCAAGTGCTGAGGCGTAGGGAGAGGCTCCAGGCTCTTGCCCCAGCGTGAGCGAAGGGGTGGGAGAGGAGCTCGCTGGGAGTGGAGCTAAGGGAAGGGCAACTTGCAGCCGGAGCGTGAGCCGCTGTCGGTGGCCAGGCTCTGCCCATCTGCTTGGGGGCGAGTGTTCCCCTAGGTCCCTGCTGCAGATGAAATGGGTGGGGTCCGTGTGGCCCCTCATGCTGGGCTGGAGCCTCTCTCTGTCTGCGCCTAGCAGTGACCCAGCCCTTGTCAGATTGATTCCTGCCGTGCCCTGGGGTCCAGCTGTGGGTCCCCCTCACCCCAGTCCGGCCTATGCAGCAGGCCGGCTCCCTTGTCTCTGCGCCACCTGGGGTTGAGGTGTGATCCCATGGAGCTGCCTAGAACGGCCCTGATTTACGAGCCACCTGCGCTCGGGAAGGTTTCCGTCGCGCTCACCTGGATCCCTGTTTTCGCTGGGGGGCGCCTTGTGTGTGCCAGACAGGCCATGCTGGGACTGCGGCTCCGCCGCCTGGGCTCTCCAGGGCTCGTCTCTGTGAGGCTGGGGCTGATGGTGGGCCGCTCGCGGTGCTGCGTGAGCGCTGGCTGACCCTGCCCGGGGCGAGCACCGCCTGCTGCTGGCAGGAAGTCCCAGCACTCAAGTGTTAACATCACGCTGGCCTCCGCCCCCCACCCATAGCACTCTGGCTCTTTGAACCCTCACCCAGCTCCCGGCCTTCCTGCACTTACCCCGCTGTGCTCTGCTTTCCAGCTGCAGGAGCTGGTGTGTCACGTCATGATGGGGAACCTGGTGATGTTCCGAAAAGATTCGGTGCTCAACATCCTGAGTGAGTAGGACCCCCCTGGCCCGGGTGGAGGTGGGCGTGGCCGTGTGGGGCGGGCGGGTGGAGGTGGGCGTGGCCACGTGGGGGTGGGGGGATCAGGTAGGCGTGGCCGTGTGGGGTGGGGGGGATCAGGTAGGGTGCCAGTATTGGGGAGGTGAACATGGATGCAGCTTAAGCAGTCCCCTGCAGCCGCTTGTCTCGTGCGCGGACTCTGGCCTCCAGCTGGGCAGAGCAGAGACCTCTTCTCCCAGCTGCTTTAGACTCTGGGCTGGCAAAACTTCTCGCCGCCTTCCCATGACCCCCCAGGAGCTGAGCCAGCCTGGGGCTCCTTCCGATGCCCCGGGCGATGTCAATAGGGGAGTCCACACACTGTCTCTCTCATGCCAGTCCTCTGGTATCTGGGCACCGGGCAGCACCTTTTGGCCTTGTGAGCTTTCCTGGGCCTCTTTCGGACTGGTGATGCCGGCTGGGGCAGTTCCACTGACGTCTCCCTGCTTCCTAGGTAGCCGCTCCAGCAATGCACCCCCCAAGGCTCTGCTCCCGGCTAGACAGGGAAGGGTGCCCTGTGCACGGGCAGGTGGGGCTGTTGTTTCTCAAGCACCTGCCAGGAGGAGCCTGTAAATCGGCCGCCACTCAGCAGTGCGTAAAGGAGACGTGGCTGGCCGGTGCCGTGCTCTCGGGGCCGAGGAGAGGCCGGCTTTCTCCCTTGGTGCTGTCAGACCCTCGTGGGTGGCACTGCTGCCGGCGTCCGGCGCGCCCTGCAGGTGGCTGAAATGGTATGCTCCTGTTCCTTGCAAAAGCCCCGGCCGTGGCAGCGCTGCGTCCGCTTCCCAGCTGAGAGGGCCTGCTCACAGATCAGGGCCATGGGCGGGCAATGCCGGGAGCTCCAGCTGGACCCGAAGGCAGCACGAGGACACGTTGACCTGGACTAAAGCGATGGGGGTGCTCCCTGGGTCGGGGGAGGAAATATCCCTCACCTCTGCGCTGCAGAAGTCATACAGTCTGTTCTAACCCTGCAGGTAACGAGGTCCTGGTAAAGAGACACCCAGGCGGGGCCTGCCAGTGCAGGCCCCTGGCAGCCTGGGGCAGCTCCCAGGGCGGGGACCATGGCACCAGTTGGCTGGAGATTGGCGTTTCCTCCTCTGATCCATGTCGTCTTAGTGGCGCAGCTTAAAGGGTCACTGCCCCGAGCGGGCTCGTGGGATTAGTTGTTTGAGCTGAGCTGTGAGCAGCGCTGATGGGTTTAACCAGGCTTGAGAGGCTTCGCAGCGCCAGACACGGGGTAATCCGGAGACGCTGAGCAGCACGGGGCAGGTTGTTAGCACCGGCTCGGCACTCCCTCCATCGAAGGCCTGGGCTGTGATCAACGGGCACGATTCAGTCGCTGTCCCTGCGACGGGCTGTCAGGGGAACGTCAGGGAGAACGTAGGGAAAGAAAACCCCTCCGCTAGTTCTCCCATCTCCACGTGCGCGCTCAGCCGCGGAGTCTCTAGGGGGCTCAGCCTGTCCCCTCACAGCCCCGGGCCGGTGCTCGGAGTGTCCTGGACCCGACTAGCCCTGTTTGCAGCACTCTGCCCCCTGTGATGTTAGCAGCTGATAAGCTCGTAGTGCCCGGCCGAGGCTTTCCATTGTGGTACGGTAGCTGCAGCCGTCAAAACTCTGTCAGGCTGACAGGTGGTGGGAGACGATCGGAGGTGGCCCTGTGGTCTGACCCTGTACGTCGGGGTCTGCTCCTGTGAAGCCCGGGGACTGGGTCTCCCTTGTGTTTGCTCTAGGACTCGTAGGGGTTTGGAAAGGCCAGCAGGGCCACTGTGTAGATCCAATCTGACCTGTGTGTACCGCACAGGCCGGGGGATTGCTCTGACTGAACTCCTGGGCGCCCTGGAGCAGAGCGCTCAGAAAAACACCCCTCTGGATTTCAGATTGCCTGGCTGGGGCATTTACCCTCCCTCCTGCCTGGTTAAAAAAACGGCACCTTAGTTTGACTCTGAATCGGACTAGATCCGACTTCCAGACGTTGGTTCTTCCCCTCCTGTGTCTGCTGGGCTGAGGAGCCCAGGTTTGTGTTGTCCCGGAGCCTGCGCTCTGTGAAGCTGAGACTGAGTCCGTGGCTGAGAGACGTAGTCCAGTGGTTCTGCGGCTCTGCTCTGAGCCCACCGCCGGGATCCAGGCCTCGCCCCCCACGCACACCCATTCGCTCCTCGGAGCCCCCGGAGCCGCTGGAAGGGCCCTGGCCAAGGACTCGCTCTCCCTTCGGAGCAGAGAGCCCCGGCTCTGGGGCACTCCCCCGGGGGGCAGAGAAATGCTGGGCCCAACAGTCCCACCCTCCTTTCCCTGGGCTGGGGTTTGGGGCTGGGACACTGTCCGTTCCCAGAACCTCCCCCTTGCAGCCTTTGCCTGTAGCCCAACTGGTGGCTTCCGTGCCCAGGCCTCATCCCGCAGCCCCAGGGCTAGGGGCTGGATCTCTTGGGAGGCTGAGACTGTTCCTTCATCACTGCAGGAGCAGGACGTCCTGGTCCCAGGGGCGCCCCAGCCTCACCCCTGAGGGGTCCGAGCCCCTTTGTCGCCTGTAATTAACCCTCATGCTTCTTGCGAGCGCTTTGCCCCTGAGTGACTGGGGTCGGCGCGATCTGCCCAAACCGCTCGGCTTAAGGGGCCTTCTTGCACTCGGCTGAATATTGCGTTTCACACGCGCCCCACATGGCTCACAGCCAGCAGGCCCATCATTGCACGGCACAGGCCGATCTCCTGGCTTGTCTGCGGCCTGCACCGTCACCGGGCCCTCATGCGCTCGGCTGGGAGTGCTTGCAGAGCCCTAGTGCCGGGTGTCTAGGCTGGGACGCTGAAGGGGTAAGCGGTTCCCCCAGCAAGTGCCTGTTTAGCTCCAGCCCTGGCACTGAATGGAAGGCACCAAGCAATGCTCTAAGCCTCTGGATTAAAGGACCCCATTCGTTCCCTCCCTCTGAGCCTGGCTGCTGGCATCCTGGATCCCTCTGCCAGGGCATGGCACAGACAGACCACCCACGCTCCCCCTGCGAGACCTCCCTGCAGCACGCAGCCCCCTCAGTCACATCTCTGCCCTGCGGCTTACGCGTGTCCTAGGCCCCTGCCTCCTGCTGGAGCCGTTCCCCCGCCTCGGGGCAGCGCCCGGCCCCCTAACGAGCGCTCTGCTTCCCTCTAGTTCAGAGCCTGGACTGGGAGACGTTCGAGCAGTACTGCACTTGGCAACTCTTCCTGGCACACAACATTCCCCTGGAGACCATCATCCCCATCCTGCAGCACCTCAAGTACAAAGGTGAGACGCCCAGCCGGCCTGCGCCCGTCAGACACTCACGCCACAATCCCGGGGGTCTGATCCCAGCTGGGTCCAGCCAGCCGGCCTGCACCCTGCGTGTGTCAGACACACACACACACACGCCACAATCCCGGGGGTCTGATCCCAGCTGGGTCCAGCCAGCCGGCCTGCACCCTGCGTGTGTCAGACACACACACACACACGCCACAATCCCGGGGGTCTGATCCCAGCTGGGTCCAGCCAGCCCGCCTGCGCCCTGCGCGTGTCCAAC